AAAAATTTGGTTTTTACTATCGTTTGCTATTGTATTTGTAATTGCTTCTATGCGCTTAATATTTTTTCTAATTTTTCATTATTGGGTACCAGCAATGTTGCATGTGAGTTACACAATTTACATACTCAAATCATGAGAGATATCACAAAATTGCAAGACAGATCACAGGTAAAGCAGCAAGGATTATATAGATACATATAGGGCACAATGAAATGTATGTGAAAAATAAGCAAAGTTTGATGAATAAGTCATACGGACCAATCAAACTTAAGATCTTGCAGACAAATCCCACTCCAAACAGCGTATAAACCATACACTCATTACATTCGTTCCTGGTATATTTTTTATTATGAACCTTTCATTTAATGATTTAAATTTGGTTGCCAACTTTACTACCACTATATGAAATTTGTGACGATACATATTATACCATCCACCAACATCTTTAGTTAAAGGTCCTAGCCTTCTGTCCGTTTTTGCGATGTTGCAAACTCTAATAATTATTTCTTCATATAATACCATATTATTATTTCTAGTACGAAGAAATAATGCTTTGCACTCTTCTTGCAATTGAAATTTTGTATACTAAATTTAAATAAAAAATTAATTTAATTAGACTTTTTTTTGTGACACAGCTCTATTTAAAAATTGTTAATGGCATAATTTGCCACTTTTCATCATTGCCTTGACCCATTTTTAATAATTTGTTTTTGTATAGCCCAGATTAGAGGTCTGCATGGGTCGGGCCGAAATCAGACAATTTGCCGAACTTCTAAGAAACATAAATTTTATTTTGCGGGCCATGCGGTCCAGCAAAAGTAGAAATTTTAGGCCTGTGCAGATCCCTAATCCAGATACTCTTAATAGAATTGGAACTTGTTATACGAAGATCAGGGTAAAATCAATTGCACCACCATAGTTTTTATGGAATTTCAAGAAAATACCATATCTTACTTAGTCAATTTCCGAATGTTTCATTGTAGGTTCATGCAATAAGGTAGATGTTGAGGTCGTATCGTTTTCTTCGTCTATTCTTGTCATCATCCTGCTTCTAATATTAGTTGCTAAATCTAATATCCTTTTATGATGCGCTAACCACAAAGCAATTTCAAATTCATTATCTGCTTGTTGAAACTGTACTGGTCGTTTTGGCAATAAATTATCTATGAATTAAAAAAAAAAAATTATTAAAAATGCTTATTTATAAAGCCATGCATAGTTAATTTTCTGGTTTTCATATCATTAAACTTCTAAACAGACCCGGCCACCCTGTTTTTTTTTTAAAAAAAAATTTGTATGTATAAAATTTTATTAGAATATCTACTCGGTTATTGTACATGCAAAATTTTAAATTTTAAATTGAAAAAAATTGACCTGACTAAGATATGAAAACCAGAAAATTTGCTTTGCTTCGCCTAATTTATCATTATTTATAAATTGACGAAGAGATTAGAAAAGGTGTAATAATATTACCATTTCTGTAAGCTGACAAAGAATCATCATTTCTGTGAACTGATAAAGGGGTATCATCATCGTTATGAACTGGTGGAGAGTCATTATTATCGTGAACTGATAAGGAAAGATTGTTTCTGTAAATTGGTGAAGAGACATTATTACTGTAAACTGGTGAAAAGACATTTCTGTAAACTGGCGAAGAGACATTATTTTCGCGAATTGAGGAAGAGCCATTATTTTCGTGAACTGGCGAAGAATTTGAAAAAGTTACACTTTCAGCATCACTTTCATGATCTGACAAAGATGTGGTATCATTATTGTCTTGATCTGTTAAATGAGTAATATCATCATTTTCTTCTTCATGCCTTTGATTATTAGTCTCAAATTGAGATAATGATTCATTAGATAACTATTTTTGTAGATATACTATTAATATTCAACCATTTTTCATTAGTGTACTTTATTGAAGCAAAGATCTTTTTCGATTTTTAATAGCTGCCCTACTTGTTTAATGGGTTGGATTTGCATCTTCCTGCTTTGCAAATACAAAGTAAAATTTCTAATTATAGAATATAATTAGAAATTTTACTTTGTATTCACAAAGCAGGAAGATGCTCTCTTTATGCAAATCTGACGCATTAAACAAGCAGGGTAGCTGTTAAAAATCGAAAGAGATCTCTGCTTTTTATTGAAAGCTAAACCTACAGTAGGACTTGTAATATTATTTTGTTGCATTGGAATATTCTTTCGTGTTTTTTTTGAAGCTGAGGAACTTGTAGCCTGTTGGTTTTGTTTGCGTTTTTGTGTTCTTTTGACAGCTGAATTCACAGTTTTATTATCTGAAAAGTCATAAGCGAGATAATGGATTAGATAATATGATAGGAAAGAATTAAATATGTTTTACATAACATACTTGATCACTTTTCAGCTGTTTTTCCTTTTAGTACTTTTATAATTCTGTTAAAAAAGTCCAAAAAATTGAAAATAACTTTAATAACTTTATTAACTTACCAAATGTTCGTTTAGCATATTGGCATAAAGTTGGATAACGTAAGATCTGTTATTTTATTTCGCCTTCTTTTCTTTCTTTCGTTTAACACTTGATTTTTTTGATGTACTTTACTCTTTTCTTTAGTGACCAAGTAAAAGATCGTGATTGAACTTACTTTTATTTGTTATGCAATAATTATTACATAATAGATATTTCCTGCATCTGTCAAAATAAACTATATTTACCTATCAAGGTTTTACTATTTTAGTACATGATCAATAAATTATCAGTTTCAATGACGAGTTAGAGGTTGTTATTTGAAAGTCTATACAGTAGTAAATATATGGATTGAAATTCTAATTTTGGTTACCCGATTTTTGGAATTCTTAAGTGGGTTATTTAGCTTGTTATTATTAATTATTACACCAGCACTAACCACAATCTTAATAATTCTTTATCCAAGTAACCCACTTGTGATTTGCTCGATTCTGAGTTAAGACAACTGGATTTAAATTCCATTCAGAATGCAACATATATCATCATATAGACTAGGTGCAGATAAAGTCTGTGGTAGTCAATAGTAGTTATTTAAAAGTATATTGAATCACTAAAAATATATGACACAATAAATAAATAAAATAAAACTAATCAAATGATTTAGCTTTCTTCCCTTTGGCATCTACTATTAATATTTACTAATAATGAAACGTTTAAACAGAACAACCCGTGCATATGTATCAACACCAAAATTACAGATTAAAGCAAAGAAAAAAAATATGAAGAAATTGAAGAAGCTTCAGTATCTGAAATTGAAGAAACTTCAGTATCTGATAAAACTTCGGGACATATGAATGCCGAAAGATTTGGTCTGCATTTTGAAGAAATTTTAAATGAAGCTGAGAGCTTATCGACCTCCGATTATATCTCATCGAACGAGATTAGTATATAGATTCCAAGCGCTCTATAAAACGAACGTCCGGAACAATGACTTAATTCATGAAACACTAATATACAAATCATTTTAATAAGCTTGGACAAACAATTGATTATAAGAATACCAACAATTACCAACCTTCGTATAAACCATTTGTTGAAGTTTCAGATGGCTTTGATGTAGATACAATGTATGACATTATGGACTATGAACAATTACCTGACATTATAGATGCCTCAATAGATAGTGAAGAATCTGACTTTACAGAAGTTTCATTAAATGAGGCGCTAGAAAATAGTGATGAATCTGACTTTACCGATGTTGATGTGTTAGAAGATATGACTTCTAATTTTAAAGGTTTTAGTAACAAATCTGGGCCCTATTTTTAAAATTGTACATCAGCATTGATCTTTATCTGGGTTACTAAACATATAATCTGTAAGTAATGTTGGTTGTACTGGTTAAAAAATCGAATGACACTCTTAGATTCTTTTTTTTATCAACACGAAAGTAATTTACTATATATGGGATCAGCTAAAGCGAAGCGAATTTAATATATGATTTACATACTGCATGAGTTGCATTCTTGATATCTATATAACATACTAACCCTAACTGTATCAAAAAAGTACCCCTAAACATCGCTATGAACATATATACTAATACCAACTTCTTATACATAGCAACCTCTGCATATGAAGATCTCGTAAAAATTCTTAAACATTCCGAGTTTAGAAAGGAAGATATTCCTACAAACATCTAGCAGATTCGGAAATGGAGAAATAGGTTGCCTTTAGTTAAAACACTTCAACATAATGTACCTCTCTGTATGAAACGAACACCATCTACTTGCGAATCTACAAAAAATGCGTTTATTATTTCTCCGTTAACGCATCTAAAACGTATTTTAAATAATCCAGTCCTGATGCCAAAAATGTATTTTGGTCCAGGAGTAGTTACAAATGAAACACGAGAATTTTGGCATGGTGAATTGTAGCAGGATTCACTATTATTTAGAGAATACCAAATGAATAATAACAAAGGTAAATAATGTTTTGTAAAATTGATTTTTTATTTGTTTGTAACTTTTTTTTAGACTTTTTTTAAATAAATTTTTATTAAATTTCAAAGTTTTAATTTTTTTTAAAAAAAATTTTTTTTAAAGAATTTATTTAGTATTCACCAGCAGTGAAATTCATCATGAAATGTTATTAGTTAATCTATAGAACATTTTACCACAAATTTTAATGCTAAATTTAAACTTTAGAGTTTTAAGACTTAAATTAAGATAGAAGGTAGGGTTTTTAGGGTCCTGAACATTTTTATTTAGTATACTAAACACCAATTGTCATTCATTTTTAAGAAACAACATCTCTGGTGAATTTCACCTCTAATGAGCGTTAAAATCGGCCATTTTAAAATAACTTTTTTATTAGATTTCAAAAGTTTTTAATTTGTTTTAAATTTAAAATTTAAATCTTATTTATTTATTTTATTTTTATTTTAATATTTTAATTTTTAAGCTTTTAATATGTTTATTTACTTATTTATTTATTTAATTTTTAAACAATAAGTAAGAATAATTTGTTTTTATCAGAATTCTATAGAGTCGATAACTTTTTAATGTATCATGAACAATCATCAATATCTATTTGCTGAGTATGTAGTATAGTGGTCGATGAAACAGATAACGGTACACTCAAGCTAAAGGTTAATCACATCCTCTCGCATAAAGACTTTTCTAATATCTGCCCTAATGACAATCGCTATAAGCGAGGCAACGGCAAGGAATTATGGTTAACTGAAGAGACTAATTTAGTTAATCTGGCAAATATAGAATGACGTGTTAATGTTTGGTTATGTGATATGCCGGAACCTTTAGAATATGAATTTTATATTAAAGAAATTGTATATCATTTTAACGGTAGATGGAAGTATCGTGAAATAAAAATGAGACATCGACTACCTTATGAAAATTTTATACTTACACCATCACCCCAACACTTGCCTACTCTAAAGATATTCCTCGATATTTATGTAGATGATTTTGGTACTTACAGAAATGTATACCATTCATTGGGCAGTGTTTACCTACAGTTTGGCAATATGCTGTTAGGTCTTCGGAAACAATTAAAAAATCATTTTTTAATTGGTTTTGTTCTATTTGGAGCAAGTTTCGATGATTTTATTAAACCTGTGCTTCAAGAGATCAAAAGATTAGAAAATGGTCTTGTTATTGAAACTTTAATTGGAGATGCATGGGTTGTAGGTGAAGTCAGGTGTATCACTGCTAATCTGCCACAAGGAAATGACCTGGCAGGTGTAAAGCGGCACAGTGCTAATCATGGATGCAGTACATGCAATGTATCAAATGATCAATATACTAATTTAAATTATAATTATATACAAAATGCACGCTTTCACCAACAGACGGAAGAACGGCTTGCAGAGATTGAAAGTCAACGTTCAAAGGTAGATAAGGAATGGCTAGCAGTTAAGTATGAGTTAGCAATGCCAGGACCTTTAAGGATACTTAAGTGGGACCATCATGTCTAATCATCACAAGATGCATATCATTCCATGGCTGGAAAAGCACGTATCCTTTTAGAAGCAACGTTTAATGCGTTGACTCTAAATGGTAAAAATGCTTTTTTAAACCATTGGAAAGATATAGAAAAACTGGCCAATTGGTGTCAAATGTCCAATCCATTACGACATTATCAAAGTTCATGTTTTCTGATGTGTTGAGGCTTGCGATATTAATGCCATTTATACTTCGAAGGTCTTTAAAGCCTCAACACGTCAAAAAAGAAAATTTAAACAATTGGCATACAAGACAAGGCTCAGCTGTATCTAAATTATGTAGATGTTGGGCGGTTGAAGCAAAAGTGCTAAAACTTGCATTCTCACTTACAATGACAGAAAATCATTACAAAGAATTGCAAGAGGCACTCGAAAGTGAACATAAAATGTTAATAGAGGCAAGTGACTTATTTCAAGTTGATAATAAAATTTAGCCGCACGTGATTATAATAACCCGAATTAATACGTAGCAAAGTTTATACTTTCGTGAGAATTCTTTTCTTTCTTTTATTTGTTAAAGATAAAAGGCGGTTTTATAAGACATTGTTTTTTTAAAAAAAAAAAGCGTGATTCTCATATTGCATCTAACTTGTTAGATTATTGATCAATAATCATATGGCTGCCAGAATTTCGTTTAACAATTTCCTTCTATTGAGGATACCTTATTTTATGCTCAATTAAATTTTATTTATTTATTTATTTTTAATCTATAAGGTAAGGTCGGGTATTAGTTCGATTTAATTTCTATTAACAAGTTAAAAAAAATTCTAAATTTAAAACCGAACTACATATCTAAAAACCTATGCCTTTTTTTTGTTGGGGGTATTTTGATGCACTATACATACCTCAGTGTTAATTATCTAAATTTAGCAAAATTTTATTTATACTAGCTCTTTTTGTACTTTCGATTTTGCTGACCCCTAAAATTGCTCAGATAGGAAAAAAAGATAAAATAACATAAGAACTACACAATAACATCTAACCTTCCCTAAGTCTTGATCAGAATTTATTAATTTTTGTATCATACAATTCGTCTCAGCAAAACGAATCATATAGTACTAAAATTGCTTGATTCTAACCAGTATATCATCAAAAACGCAAGTGCGTCAAATACCTTCTGCATCATAATACCCGACCCTACCTTATTTTTTTAATCTATTAAATCAAAGTTATCATAATAAAATTTTGAATGTTAATACTTTTTTTTTGGGAGTTTAGATCTTTGTTCAAACGTCCATTAATACTATTACGGATTTAACTAATAAAATTTATTTTCATTAGTTATTTCCAAATAACTTCACGAACCTACTAAACTTGCATGTAAATGTTCATCTTCTTCAGCATGCTCGGAATTTCGCAACACTCGTAAACACTGCTGTTGGAATAAAAGAAATGATGCATCAAATATTTAAAAATATGATACCACATATGAACTGTAAGGCGATTGAATTGGATCTTATCCGACGGTATAACACAATACTGGCGTTACGACATCTCATCGATGGTTAGATAGATCCTCGCTTTGATACAAGAACCAATGTAATAAATGAACTTGCTATAGACCCAACTATTAATACAATGCTATCTAACTGGT